AATGACGATTCTCTAAAAGTCAAAGATGCGAACGTGTTTTGGAGAGAACGCAAGAAAAGTGGTGATTACTGTAAATTGAATTCAAAGGAAGGGTATAATAGTCAAATAATTAAAAAAGATGTGGCGTTAACCATTATGGTTGTGACAATAGCGCCACCCCACACTTTTGACTTGGATCTTCAAAGGATTCTTGGCATTTTCTAAAACCTAACAAGTTGTCATCACAAGACAAAACTAGCTGTATTCTTCTTTTCTCAAAAAAAAAAAAAACTAGCTGTATTCTTCTTTCCGTCCTTTGGTAAATCCCCTGTTTGAGGTTGAGAATCTAACATTATGGGGCCATGTGTGGGTCAAGTCAGTGGGTATCCTGTATATATTTTTCATGGTGACATTGTTTTTTTAAAACTATCTCACTCGCGCTTGGACTTTTGATTGAGTGGCGTGAGATTACGCATAAATATATTTTTTAATTTTAAAGTAACTGTTTAAATTTAATTTTTTATAAATTTTTTCAAAAAAAAAAATTATCTCGCTCAACCTAGTTCGCTCATTCTAATGATTAAAGTCATGCAACACGAGTAAGCTAGATATTCCTTCTTTCCTGTGTTGGTTTTAACCCAAATCTAATACCTAAGCAACAGTTCTTCTACATTTGAAGGGAAGGCTGAATGTTAATTTAAAAGGCTTCAATTTTTTTGTTTTTTATTGAAACTAATGCTAATTAAGAAGATACTAGGACGGAGGAGCTGATCAAACGTAGAAAAATAAAATAAAATAAAATAAAATAAAATAAGATACTAGGGCGGAGTCAAAAAGAGTTGGTGGATGATTATGTATGCTGGTTATTATCTTTAACGTAGATTGTGATGTATAAATATATAAGGTTAAAACTCTTTTTTGGTTTTGAACTATTGTACGAACCTTTGATTTGGTCCCTAAACTAAAAAAATCCCTGATTTGGTACTTATTGTTTACCATTTTTACCCCGATTTGATCCTTCCGTTAAAAATTGTGTGACGTGGCCTGTTATTTCATGGTTACCAAATGACATGTCATGCAGTAATCCACGTGGAAGATAATATAGCTAAAAAAGTGATGATGTGGAAAAAATAATAATATAAAAAAATATTATGAAAAATAAAATTTAAATTTTTTTTCTTTTTTCTTTTTTTCTTTCTCCTTGTCTTTTCCCTTTCCCTTTCCCTTTCCCTTTCTCCTTTCCCTTTCCCTTCTCTTTCCCCTCAGAACCCAGTAGGCTTGGGTTCCTCCGAACCCACCCAGGCGCTGGGTTCCTTGCGAACCCAGCACGCTTGCCCGGGTTGGGTTCCGTCAAACCTAGCGCCTAGGTTCCATGGAATCCAACGACGAACCAGCTGGGTTCGAAGGAACCCAAGCGCTGGGTTCCCTCGAACCCACGCCTGGGTGCTTCAAACCAACTAGGTTCCATGGAACCCAACCCTAGGTTCCGTCGAACCCAGGCATGGGTTCAACGGAACCCAGGCGTGGGTTCGAAGAACCCAGCACACCTGGGTTCGAGGAACCCAAGGGTAAAAAATATATATATTTTTTCTGTGGGTTTGGTGTTTGATGATGATGAAGAAAGCAAGGCAAGGAAGAGGAAGGAAAAAAAAAGGGCTTTGTTGGGTTCGATTCAACCCAGGGGCTGGGTGTGTTTAGTGCTAGGTTTGTTTGCTGGAGGAAGAAGATGATGGCAAATTCGTAATTTTGGTGGGCCCCACTTTTGTTGGGTTGGGCAATGACATGACATGTCACGTCGCCATGTCATTATTTATTCATTTATATAACTGACGTGTCTCAAATGTTTGACATGTCATTAAATTGTCATGAGATAACGGTGAGATTTTAACGGAAGGACTAAATCGGGGTAAAAATGGTAAACAGTAAGGACTAAATTAAAAATTTTTTTAGTTTAGGGATCAAATCGAAAGTCTGTACAATAATTCAGAAACCAAAATAAAGTTTTAACCAATATATAAATAGTTGTTGGTTTTATCTTCTAGACCAATTGCACAAAACTACATAGGAAAAAGAAGTACAAACCTATCATAGGTCCTACCAAGTGGACATTTCAATTCAAGTTTTC